AAAAAAAAAAAAAAAAAAAAAAAAAAAAAAAAAAAGCCCGGGATGGCCTAAACCACTTTTAAAATCCTCCTGGGGACTTTTGCCCATCAGGTGACAAGTCCTCTGAGCCAAGCCTTTGGGGGGTGGGGCTGTCTGCCAACCAGCAGTCTGTTCCTGCAGCTTCTTTGTGCTAATTGTGCGAGTATTTAATAGTAAACTATTGCTTATTTATTTACAAGTATGCTTTTTTGGATTTTTGTTTTGTTTTGCTCTGTTTCCTGAGAACAGTGATTTGTTTGTTGGTTTGGTTTGGTTTTTGGTTTTTGAGACAGGGTTTCTCTGTTACAGTCCTGGCTATCCTGGAACTCAATTTGTAGACCAGGCTGGCTCAAACTCACAGAGATCGGCCTGCCTGTGCCTCTGGAGTACCGGGATTAAAGGCGTGCGCCACCAACAGCCCTGAGACAGTGATTTCATGTTCTAGAACCCTCCTGCAAAGGCAGAGGCTTCGCGTGGGTGTGTACCCGCGACGCCAGCGCTCAGGTGGGATTTCCCGGTGAAGACAAAACACCGTTGTCAATTATACAATGAGCTGGAGTCCAGTCTGAGCTACAGGAGACGCTCTCTCAGAAAACGAAGCATAAAGGCCAGAGAGACGGCTCAGCAGGTAAAGGTGCTTGCCGTGAAAGCGGAGAGACCTGAGTTTGATCCCCACAACCCACAGGACAGTGGCGAGAACCAACGTCACAAAGCTGTCCTCTGCCTCTTATGCTATGGCAAGTTAGTTATCCCATGTAACAATTTGTGTGTAAAATATATAAAATAATGAATAATTAAAAAAAAAAAAGTATAGTTCAGCCGGGCCACGGTGGCGCACGCCTTTAATCCCAGCACTCAGGAGGCAGAGCCAGGCGGATCTCTGTGAGTTCGAGGCCAGCCTGGTCTACAGAATGAGATCCAGGACAGGCGCCAAAACTACACAGAGAAACGCTGTCTCGAAAAACCAAAAAAAAAAAAGGGGAGGGGCTGAAGAGATGGCTTAGAGATTAAGAGCACTGGCTGCTCTTCCAGAGGAACCCGGGTTCCATTTCCAGCACCCACATGGCAGCTCACAACTGTCTATAACCCCGGTTCCAGGGGATCTGGCATCCTTACACAGACTTACAGATAGGCAAAACACCAATGCATATTTAAAAAAGTACCGTTCAAAAACTTCACAGGTCAAAATAAACTCTTTCTTTAAAAACGGAAACAAAACAGAACAACATAAACCACAGGAGGCTAGAGAGATGGCTTGGTGGTTAGGAACACTTCCTGCTCTTGCCAAGCAAGATCCGAGTTCTGGTCATGGCCAGTGTGACTTGCAACTGACTATGAATCCAGTTCCAGGGAGCGCTCTTCTGGTTTCCAAGGGCACCAGATACGAAAGTGGTGCACAATACGCACGCAGATAAGACACTTATACATATAAACATAAACAAATCTTGAGTAAACAAAATCATCTTCAAAAAAAGGAAGGAAGGAGAAGGAGGGATGCATGACTTATGAAAAAGAAAGAGAAAGAAAAAAAAATCAGAATCTACCTAAGTTAGCTCAGGTTGGGCATAGGGTTCCTCACTGCAGGCCCAGCTACTCATGAGCTGAAAGGAAAACAAAAACAACCTTGAGATTAGGAGTCTGAGGCCACTGTGGCAACACAGTGCACCCTTATCTAAATAATTTAGTAAACAAATAAGAGGGAAACAACTCCTACTGAATCTAAGGACTGAATCTGTCTGAACAAACACAAATTAAGGAACTCCGGTTTCCTTGGCCTGTAGATACAAAGCGGGCTGGAGAGTCTGGCTGTAATTCATCTGACAATTCCCCTGCCTCAGTTAGCTTGTTATTGTATGCGGGTTCAATCTAGGGCCTTGTGCCTTCCAGGCAAGCCGAACACTTCTACTAAGCTACATCACCCGAATCCATTTTGCTTTTTTTTCTATTGTTTTTAGTCATGTAAAATTGTTTATTTCAACTTACATTTTGAATGTCGTTGTTAGATGCCAGATGCATGCTTAGTACTGATAAAAAGCTGCAACAGAAAGGCACCTGGAAAGCAGGCACAAGTTACTCTCCTTGTTAGTGTGACCAAGCTTTTGAAACACTGTCTCATTTAGCCCAGCCTGGCCTCCAATTTACTTTGTATCTGAGGATGAACTTGAACTCCGATCTTCCTGCCTCTACCTCCCAGGTTCTGGGATTGTAGGCATCTGCCACACCAGGTCTGATTTACTCTTTCCACTGTTTATGTTGAGACAGAGTTTCACTAAGTTGCCCAAGCTGGCTTTGAACTCACTTTGTAGCTCAGGCAGGGCTTGAACTTGTGATCCTTATGTGTCAGATTCTCAGTAGCTGCCAGTACCATTTGGCACCAACAGGCCTAGCTAAAAGTTTCCTTGTTGAGGAGTCTTAATTTTTCTCACTAATATGCGGTTTCTCAGCTAAGCCTATTAACTGCATTTTCTCTTTCCACTTTTCTTTCCCACACTGGCCAGCGCCCAGCATGCTTTCACGGTCACTCGGGCTTCCTCTGAAATTCTCCTTCCGCCAGCCTCTGTTTGCTGACCTGCACTGTCGAGATTCACAGCTCATCTTCCCTGTTGTTTTTCCCCAAATTCTGTTAGTAAAACTGTCCCCAAGCTTAAGAAAAACAAAGAGAAGAAACCAAAATACAGCTCTAAAGAATTCCTCATGCTAACTAGCATTGTTGAGAAAAAGAAATGGTCGTAATGACAACATGTCTTTGGCTTGAGGGAGATAGCATTTTTTAATTCTTTTAAATAGAAATATCCTTTAATTTTTATATGGATATAATTTTTGAAAATATTAAATTATATTAAAAGTTTTGCAGCTCTTTTGGGAGTGTGGGATGTGTTCCCTCCAGCCCTTATCCCAACACTGGCGTTCCAGGCATTCCAGGCCTGGTCCATTTTTACATGGTACTGAGAATTGGAACTGAGGTCTTCACATTCTTGCTTACTGATTCATCTCCCCAGCCCTTGTTTTAGGTTTTGAGACAAAGTCTCAAAATAGCCCAGGCTAGCCTTGAACTTAATATGCAGCTGAGTATGACCTTGAACTTCTGATCCCCCACCCTCTACCTCTCAAGTGCTGAGGTTACAGGCATGACCTACTACTCTCTAATCTTTGTCCTGAACTCCACTAGCTAAGGATCCCGCAAGAACTACTCAATCCCCTGAGCAGTGCTGAAGAACTGGATTCCACCTCTTGAAGGTCTCATCAAGAACCGAGTCTTTACACAAGAACCTTGGAGAACACACCACATCCACACTGTCGCAGTCAGACTTCAAAAGTGTTTTTGAGACTGGCCCCCTCCATGCTGGAGTTACAGAGGTAAAGCACCATGTCTGACTCTGCTTTCCATTTTAGGGGAGGTGCACACAGATAAAACACTATTGCGTACAGTTACACGGTCTTTAAATAACTATGCGTTGGGAGCCATCCCCTGATGAGGACAGAGGATGTATGGAGTTGGCGGGGGAAGGAGAGAGCCAGGCATGATGGTCGGGAGAATCTTGCAGCCTGACGGACTAGCAGCCAGAGTGCTTTTTTATTTATACAAAATGTAGTAAGTAGGGATGGATTCATGTTGTTCCAAAACATAGATCCTATCATTTTTGGTTTTGGACATGTGTCTCACTTTTTCTTGTTCATCTTTTAGTCATCATTGGTAAATTATGACAGAACAGAGTTATCATTTCCAATCATTTTCCCTCAAGTTTTGACATCATTGATGAACAGAGTTATTTTTACTCATTAACCCTTAACCCAATTTTTAAGAATCTAGAGGCATATGACAGCCTGTGTTCAGGCTGGTAGCTTTGGTTGCTTCAAGGATGCTAGACCAAAACAAAATCTTTTTTTTTTTTCCCAAAACAAAATCTTGAAGCCAGCCCACACATATTGCCATGTCCCAAGCAGTGTGTTATTAACTCTTAAGGGTCAGAGTGCCCAAGAAAAATCCTCAGGCCAAAGCTGCTGAAGTTATTCCAATTCTGACATGGTAACTCCAGCTAATCTAACTTTGTTGCTGTATATGCCACATAATTGTCGGAGTGTATAGTGGGAAGAGGCTTGCAGTCTGAACTGTGGCCAACTCCTCTAGCCCACCGAATCTTGTTAACCTTTTTGAGTGAACCTTTTTGATTATCCTGTTCCTGAGTAAATACGGGGACAGATATTTTAAGAATGTCTCACAGCCTCATAAAGAGACCTCTGGCTTCTCTTTATGTGTCACAACCTCCAGGGAGTGAGGAAGACCTTCAAGTAGATAAGGGTATCTCCCTAAAAGTGGGAAGGGTAGTGTGTGAGGACTTTCCTTGGGAGTCTTAGAAGCGATACTCATGGAAGAATGCATAAATGGTTCATAAGAAAATTTCCATCACCCAGGTGGTGGTGACACATGCCTTTAATCCCAGCACTCAGAAGGCCAAGCCAGGCGGATCTCTGTGAGTTCGAGGCCAGCCTGGACTACAGAGTAAGTTCCAGAACAGGCTCCAAAGCTACACAGAGAAACCGTGTCTTAAAAAAAAAAAAAAAAAGTCCATCAATACCCCCAAAGTGTACAACTATTAAAAGTCTCCCAAGTATGCAGCAGGTGGAGATGAAAACCAAAGGTGGCATGGCAGCCATCATGTGGCTCGCCTCTGCTGGGTCCTTGTCAAGCAGCTGTGCTGGCTTTATGACTTTTGTTTGTTTGTTTGTTTGTTTTTCGAGACAGGGTTTCTCTGTGTAGCTTTGCACCTTTCCTGGAACTTACTTGGTAGCCCAGGCTGGCCTCAAACTCACAGAGATCTGCCAGGCTCTGCCTCTCGAGTGCTGGGATTAAAGGCGTGCGCCCCTGCACGGCTAGCTTTATGACCTTTGCTGTTCCCATCAGATACAGCCGAAGCCAACTATGACAAAAGAATTAATTATGAAATGCTTGATCACGCCCGGCACAGAGACACATGCTTGTAATCCCAGCATTCCCGAGGCTGAGGCAGGAAGATTTATGTTTGGGGCAGCCTGGTCTGCATAGCCAGTTCTAGGCCAGCTAACGCTACATAGTGAGACTTTGTCTCAAAAAAACAAAACAAAACAAAAATAGTGTTACATTTGATTTCCATCCCCAGCAGTACTGTACACCTGGCATTGTGGCCCATCCCATTATTTACCATTAATCCTAGAATTTAAGCTGTAACATCCGGAGGGTCAGAAGTTCAAGGTTGTTCTAATGCTACATGCCTAAAACATCAAACAAAGAGAGCCCCAAGATGGCTCAAAGCGTAAGGCCATGTAAGCCTGGTGACCTGAATTGGACCCCTGGATCCACCTAATGTTAGAAAGATAGAATTGACTCCCAAAAGTTAGCCTCTGACCTCCACAGGAGTCCTGTAGCATGTACACCTCTCTCATGATGCATACACAAATAATAAGTTAAACAATATTCAAACAAACAAAACCAAAAAGGAATGCAGTCATAGGAAGCCTCCATGATTCAAACTCCTTCTCTTTGTCTTTATCAGTCACCAGCAAAACACAGGTAAACTACAAGGCTGTATTTTAATACATAGTCAGCTCTCTATACCTGCAGCCTTTTATCTTCAACAAGGTAGATTGAAATACTCAGAAAAATATATGTGTTGGGTGTGGTGCAAGCCTATAATCATCCCACTTTGGAGGGAGAGGCAAGAGGATCAAGAGTTCAAGGCCAATTGCAGGAATGTATTGAGTTCGAGGCCCACCTGAGCTCCATGAGGCTGTGTTGAAGGAGGAGGAAAAAGAAGAGAAGAAAAAGGATGCCATGTTGCCATAGGCCTGCAGTTCCTACCCTGGGGAGGGTGAGGCACAGAGACACTCTGTCTTCAGAAACCAAAAGAGAAAAACAGCAGGAACAGCAGCAGCAGCAGCAAAATGGTGTCTGCACTCTACATGCAGTCTGCTTCTCTTATTATTATTATTTCCTAAACAACGCAACAGATATGTGTGTGACACTGATACCATATTAGATATTATAAGCAATCTAAACGTGACTTACAGTACGGGGGAGTCAGGCATAGTGATAAACCTGTAATCACAGCACTTAGGAGACAGAGGCCAGAGAATCCACAGAAGCTCAGGTGACCTACAGCTTGGGAGGTAGAAGCAGCAGAGTGTGGTCCCTATGTTCAATGGCCTGGCCCGCATAGTGAGTTCCAACACAGCCAGAGCCACACAGTAAAACCCTGTTTCAAAACAACATAGCCGCCAGGTGGTGGTGGTGCACGCCTTTAATCCCAGCACTCGGGAGGCAGAGCCAAGCGGATCTCTGTGAGTTCGAGGCCAGCCTGGGCTACAAAGCGAGTTGCAGGAAAGGCACAAAGCTACACAGAGAAACCCTGTCTTGAAAAACAAAAACAAAAAGACAACAAACAAACAAACAAAAAAACATGGCCAAAGAACGAATCAGAAGGTTAAAGCTGTAGCTACACAAGCCTTATGACCTGAGTTCAATCTCTGGAACCAACATGGGAAAACTGGGAGCCTGGAGAGCTGACTCAGCAGTTAAGAGCACTGTCTGCTCTTCCAGAGGACCTGAGTTCAATTCCCAGCACCCACATGGTGGCTCACAACAGTTTATAACTATATTCCAGGCTATCTAGTCTAAGAATTTCACCATGATTCTGTCTCCATCTCCCACCTCGTGTAGGAGTGATGGGATTGTAGATGAATAACATATCTTTTTTTTTTTTAGATTTATTTATTTTTATTTTATGTGTATGGATGTATTGCCTGCATGTATGGATACATACCACGTACATGCAGTACCCAAGAAGGCTAGAAGAGAGCATTGGGTCCTCTGGGTCTGGAGTTACAGACTGCCTCTCAAAACAAGGTGGAAGGAGAGAACCAACTCCAGCAGGGTTGTTCTCTTACCTCAGCATCATGGTGTAGCACAGGCATGTCTGCACTCACACACACACAAAATAAACTAAAGCAGCAATGCAGTATACAAGAGAACATGCATGGACGTAAATATTACACACTTTTACGGAATGTGTGGAGAGTGTGTACAAACATCATACCATTTTATATAAAGGTCTGGCATGTTACATCTGCAATGATCAATCTCTTAGGTTCCCTATTTGTTTAGATTTGCTTTACTGGTACCAGGGATGGAACCCACAAATGCCAGGCAAGTACCCTCACAACTGAGCTGTATCCCCAGCCCCCATACTTTTAAAATCTAAGCCACAATTTTAGAGATATCTGAAAAGACACAAAGTCTCACTTTTTTTTAGTTTGATGGTGTTTGTCCCATATTATTAAAAGTTCTATATAGCTAGAGATATAAGGATAACCAGGTCTCCATGAACCAAACAAACTAAAACTGAATAAACCAAAGCTGTGTTCAATAGCCTGGTCCACATAGTGAGTTCCAGTACAGCCAGGCTAGGAAGTGAAACCCTGTTTCAAAATAACAGGGCTGAAGAAATGAATCATCAGGTAAAAGCTGTAGTTCTATATAACTAGAGTTATAAGTGTGATTCCTATTTATATTTGTGAAAGTGCACAGGATAGATTTAATTAGTTATATTTCAAATTAAAAAGCAACTTCAAATAAACAGAATCAATACAGTTCTGCTCTGGGCATCTTAAACATTTAGTGTTTTTATTTATTTGGTTGTATTTCACCTCCATTCACTTTCACTGTAGCAGCTCTAGTCTCCTGTTACCTTAATTCATCCCTTTAAACGTGCTCAGTATCTTCCTTGGCATCCTGTTAAAAACAGTACATCTTTGCCAAAAGACAATATCACAACAATTTTTATTTCACTAATGGCTGTTTTGATGGTTTAGGAATTGAGGCAGACTTCATCCTACAAAATAAAAGGAGAGCTTCCACTAAACAATAGACTAACCAGAAGTTGCTTGTTTTTGTTTTTGTTTTTTTTTTTTTTGATTTTTTAAATTAATGATTCTTTGTTAGACTCAGTCCAGGCAGGTCCAGTCCCCTCCTCCCAGATTGAGCCAAGCGTCCCTGCATAAGTCCCAGGTTTCAAACAGCTATCTCATGCAGCAAGCCCAGGACCGGGTCCCACTGCCTGGATGCCTCCCAAACAGATCAAGCCAATCAACTGTCTCACCTATTCAGAGGGCCTGATCCAGCTGGGGGCCCCTCAGCCTTTGCTTGTTTTGTTTTGTTGGTTTTGAGAGAGTCTTGAACAGCTTAAACTAGTCTCTAAACTTGATGTTGCTGAGGCTGGCCTTGAACATCTGATCCTTCTGTCTCCATCTCTCCAAGTGTTGGGATAACAGGCTTGCATCAACGTACCCAGCTGGTTTTTGAGATAGGGTCTTCCTATGTAGCTCCAGGCTATCCTCAAACCGGATCTTCCTGCCTCTACCTCCCTAGCTGCTGGATTACAGGCCTGAACCACCT